GTGCAAGAAATGTAACAGAAATGATCCGTGATGGATGAATGTATGATTATAGGGTAACAGTGGAATTTTTAGTTTGTTGTTGATAAATATGTGGCCAATACATATTTTGGAGTTTCCTTGTATTCTGGTATATTCATTTATTGCTGACATATATCCAAATGAGTTCAAGATATTCAAATATTCAATTCCGTAATCATTGTTATCTGAAATATTGATTTTGATGTCTCCACGAATATATATTTACGTCTTCTTTGTTATTGACTTTTTGTTCCAGAAAGTTATTAAGAGAGTTGTTGTATTCATACGGACATGTCGATGGGGATCTGTATATTGCTGTAATATTATAAACCCAAGGTGTGAAAAATGTGCTTATAAAAGAAAGTTATTTAGCCTCTGTTTGACTTTCACAAAAATATATGACCATATGCCTGTAAATAAATAATTATGAAAATCATTTCATTTCTCTGAAATCACGTTTTGTCAACTTTCACCTTTACAGTGTTATTATTGACAAACAATATTAGAAGAAGTAAAATAAATCGTTTTCTCTGATCCCCTGTACCTCTTTCAACTGCTTGACTGAAAACCAATTATTATATACCTATTTAATATCAAGGGATCTTTTATTAAAGGTTCGATCACTGATCAATTTTCCAAGGAATATATGCACAGGATGTGTTAACAAACTCGAAGAAATAATGATGTTTATTGAAAAAGCAAATACTAATTGTGCTGGATTAGAAATGAAATCGATACCGAAGAAAGATATCAGCGAAACAGTAGATACAACTGTTGAATACTATGAAGGGATTACTCGACGTGGATCACAAATTTGTCAGATTTGTTCATCTCCAAGTGATGTAACACCAATAAAAGAGGATGCATATTTTATTCAACTGATTCAGAATATTACCAATATTAATGTAAGTGTTTCGTTGATTGTGGATTCCCATTTCAATGCTCTTTTTTTTTGGTTTTAGATTACTACCTATATCTTCACATGTAGCTCATGTGTACGCAATCTGGTGAAAATTTCTTTATTTGTCACTTCAATCTTGAACACTGAAGAGAAACTTCAAAATGTTATTTTAATATCTGGGGTGGACGAAACCAAAAGTTATCAGAATTCGATTGAAGGTCCATCAGCGAATAGAAATATGAGAGATGATGAAAGTTTTAAGCGAAATATAATATCGAAAGATGAAATAATCGAGAAAGATAATTTTGCAGATACAAGCGAAGAAATTATCGACGTCAAGAAAGAAACTGTTCATGTTGAAGAAGAAGGTAGCATCGATGTCAAAGTAACAAACGGAAAAATGATTGGAAAAGATGATTTTGCAGATGAAAGTCAAGAAATATTTGACATTAAGGAAGAAATTATTGACATCAAGGAAGCCGTTATTGATATTCAAGATGGTAGCATCGATATCAAAGAAACAAACGAAAAAATAATTGGGAAAGATGATTTTGCAGATGAAAGTCAAGAAATGATTGACTCCAAGGAAGAAATTGTTGATACTGAAGAAGAAGGTAGCATTGGTATTAAAGTAACAAACGAAAAAATAATTGGGAAAGATATTTTTGCAGTTGAAAGTCAAGAAATGAGTGACATCAAGGAAGATATTATTGACATCAAGGAAAAAGTTATTGACATCAAGAAAGAAATTGTTTTTCAGAAAGGTCATTCATATAATCATATGCTCATTCATAGCAAGGTATTTGAATGTCACATCTGCAAAAAACCAAGCATTTCCAGATCAACTTTCCGAAATCATCTTCGCTCTCATGGAGTAGGAAAACTGAATCAATGCGATCATTGTAAAATATACTTTAAACGAGCAAGTAGTCTAGAAAGACATATGCGCAGCCATGTTGAAGGTAAAAGGCACAATTGCGATTCTTGCAATATACAATTCGCTACAAAAACCACTTTCAATAAACACCTGCTACTTCACGACGAAGGAAAAACTCACGAGTGTGATACCTGCAAACAAACATTCCTTTCAAAAACCATGTTGCTGAAGCACTTACACCTTGATCACGGCATGAAACCACACGAATGTGAGGTATGCCAAAAATGTTTCCGTAAGAAAACAGGTCTACAGCGACATTCACTCGTCCACACTGGAGAAAAACCATTTGGATGTGAGGTTTGCCAAAAAAGGTTCAATCAAAAGGCGATTTTGAAGAGACACTTATCCACTCACAGCAAAAACACCAATTTGAACGGTTCTTAACAAAAATATCAAACCATGAGAAGTAAAACGAGATATTTGAGGGACTATTATTGTTACAATAATAAAAAATTACACATGTTATGTATGTTTGGATGTGATAATAATACCTAAGCTCATGTCAGCAAAAGTATTAAGTTTATTATTAGTGAACACACGCAATACAACATGAGTAATCGGATTAGGAATGGAGGTAACAACCAGGTTGAGGTTATAAGTTACAAATGTTACCAATATATGTGATTGATGACTTGTTTACTTTATAGTAATTCATGATCACTTAAATAAAATGAATAAAAACTTGTCTAAATACCACTGGAAAATTTTTATTTATGCGACCGGTTTTGGGTTTGATCTCATTATCAAGTACAAAACTGAATTCTGAATTTTGAAACATCAATTTTATAGAATAAAGAGAGAAAAATGAATCTGTTGGAGGCCATGGAAATTAACAAACGAGCACTTTATTTATGTAGGTCTCCTCTCTTGAATTTATGAGTTTAACAACCTCTAGAATTTTCAGGATGGTATTTTAAGTTGGCATCCTGTCTCTCAAATACCTGTCCTTGCAGCATACCTGAAAATTCTATAGAATAGATGTTTCAAAATTTTAAAATTGGAAAATTTTTATTTATGGGACCGGTTTTGGGTTTGATCTCATTATTAAGTATAAAACTGAATTCTGAATTTTGAAACATCAATTTTATAGAATAAAGGGAGAAAAATTAATCTGTTAGAGGCCATGGAAATTAACAAATTATGTAGGCCTCCTCCTGTCCTTGCAGCATACCTGAAAATTCTATAAAATCGATGTTTCAAAATTCAGAATTCAGTTTTATACTTGTTATTGGGATCAAACCCGAAACCGGTCGTATAAATAAAAATTTTCGGTATTTAGACAAAATTGTTTTTATTCATTTCATTCAGCTATTTTTTTGAATTTTAATTATCATTTGTTATTTCAGAGATTTCAAATCATATCACATTAGACAATGGAAGTCTCAACTAATGAAATTCACTATGAAACTCTGTCAACCACGTTCAAACATACTTTTTTTTGTTGAAGTCACAGCTTCCAATGACATGAATAAAAGTCACATGAAATGTATAATTTTTATTTCTCGGTGGCGTACCTGATACATTTTTATTGGTAGTAGGTATGAAACGTATTTTTAGGCTCTTTCAAAATTATTTTATACGTATGCGTTTTTGGAAACGCTGAACTCGAATTTGAAAATAGTTTTCATAAAAATATACTTTTACTCTCTGTGTTTTTTGTCGACGATCTCAGTTACACGTGATTGAAGATTTGTAGCATATTTATTCTAAATATACTTTGTATTATTAATATCAATACATAGTATAAAACAAAGTCGCTTTCCACTGTCTGTCCCTATGTATTCTTAGATCTTTAAAACTGCGCAACGGATTTTGATGCGGGATACTTATCATTTAGATAATAGAACTGAGCTAGCATTACAAATAAAAAAAGTCATAGTAAGCCGGCTGATATTAAAGTTCGTGCAGACTTTAACAATAGGCTGTATTATTGTTTACAAAACAACGGAACCCACTTTAAACATTTACTTAATTGCATTGTTGATAAATTTGTAGCTCAACAAAAACCTCATTAAATATTCCATTTCACAATTTTTGTTTCACTCTGTACAATTATTATTTATATAGCATTTTCTATAGTATTTAGAATGATGTATCTCAAATAGGGTTTTGCAATTTAAACTTTTTGAGTTTTGGTGGGTGGAACCTAGGGGGTTGATGGGGGTGAGTTCTCTTTCATGTCACTTTGGTTGCGGCGGTACCGGCCGGGGAACCGGTACCGCCCAACAAATAAACTCAACTTTATCTCACTACTACATTGCCAATAGGTACAACTCAAAAACGCTAACTGAATTAAGCAATTCCTTATCCAATTAAGTGCCTCAAATACATTGTGCATTTAATATGTATCAATAAGGCCCTTTACATCATGTAATTTGAACAAATATTTTCGAAGATATTACAGATTTAAAATACAAAGACATCGCGGTTGCGGCGGTACCGGCCGGGGAACCGGTACCGCCCAACAAATAAACTCAACTTTATCTCACTACTACATTGCCAATAGGTACAACTCAAAAACTCTAACTGAATTTCAGACTAATGCTCAAATTTCTATCGCCTTATTACCTCACTACGCACCGAACTCTCCAAACTGAATTATCCTCCATTACTTCGTGGCTTATATATCTCAATGTAAGTCTTTGGAACTCGGTGGAACAATCTTCGAACAGACGCAGCATTTCAGAAAGAGAGAGAATGGGTCTGAGCGTGAACTTGACCAAGTCGCAGTCAGGGGATAATTTACAACACTATCCTTTTTATTTTGTTACTATTGAATATATGGTTGTAGGGGACTATGAATGTTCAATTACATCGGTTACGACAAATTATATACATTTTTTATTAAAGGTATAGATATTTCGAAAGGACCATAGAACATACTGAAAACACAGCTCTGCTGTATATATGAAACCGTCGTCCAAATAATTATTAACTAGTAACAGCTCCATCTCGTGAACGAAGCTCCAAGCGGTAAAGAAATAAAAAGTTTTGATCTCTATAAGGATGTTTATTTCCTACTTAGGGCTTTGTTCACGAGATGTAGTTGTCACTAGATAACAATATTTCTCTTAGACGAAGGTTTCACACATGCAGCGGAGCCACGTTGAAATTAATCCAGTCACAGGCACTTTACTGTCTGGATCACATGTGCGAGACTCACCTTTGTGAGGTATCTTGCATAAATGTCTCTGGAATATAATACAATATCCAGCGTAGTATTAGCCGGGAAAGTAGTTTTCCGGCAGGCATTTCCAGAACCTACTCTGTAAGTATCTGAGAGAGATGAATGTCTTGAAATTTTATTTCGAAGTATTTATTTTCTTACACTGAAGCTTTAAGTTTCTGTATATAATAATGTCACGAATAACAGAAATCTACTGTATGTCATGAAATTGGGCGATACTTGATGAAAATCCATGATGACTTGTTCAAATGTAACACTTAAAAATCTCACCATGAAGTGATACTTTAAAAGTCTTGTAAGAAACTCCAGTATTAGTTTTTGAAATTTACCTTATTAGGGAGATATTTAAAATTCGAAATTAGATGCCACCGTCATGATGGCAAAAGTGAATGTAGGTTATACGTTCCATTATATCTGCAAACCAGTGTGTTTTGAGCCTCTGTTTCAAAATAGTTCGTTCAATTAGTTTCATTTTTATGAATATTTAAGTATTCAAGAGAACTGATTTGTGTTTGTAGTTCGTACAAATAATTTTAGGTATGCTGTTCACCAAACTACACAGGTCTACGATGAAAAAATTGTAGGATATTCAACTAGTGATATTAACAGTATTTGGTTTGCAGATTACGGAAAAAATAGTAAAAAATTCTATCACCTATAAATAAGTCACAAATTTTGCCTGAAATTTTCTTTTTAAATGGGTTTTTAGGTTCGGTATGGGTTCGATGTTTCTGTATTGTATAGCCTATAAGCGGTAAATTGAGTCTGAATTATGAACCTTTTATGTTGAACAAGTTACTTCACAATGTGAGTGTATATCTAAGATAAAATACGGTTTTAATCTATTTATGTCAATAACATAACAACCTAAACTGGGAAAATCATCCCTGAAAAAAGAAGTTTGAAAGCTGTACTTCTTCACAATGGGAACCAACATGCTTCTGTGTGTTGGACACTCAGTCCATTTGAGAGAATGCTACGAAAATCTTGAATTTGTTCTTAATAAGCTCAGCTACTCTAATTATAAGTGGACCATTTGTGGAGACTTGAAAGTTATTTCAATGTTACTAGGTCAACAAAGTGGTTACACTAAGTTTCCATGTTTCCTATGTGAATGGGATAGCCGTGACAGGAAACAACACTGTCAAGCAGGTGTGGCCAATAAGAAAGGGTGTTATTCATGGAGTTAAAAATGTTGAAAACCAAAGTTTAGTGGATCCCTGAAAAAATCTTACTTCCACCACTCCATATCAAATTGGGGCTAATGAAACAGTTTGTGAAAGCATTAGACAAAGAAGGAGATTGTTTCAAGTATCTTTCTCAAAAGTTTCCTGGTCTACCCGATGCTAAACTAAAAGAAGGAGTCTTCGTTGGGCCTGACATAAGAAAACTTTTAAAAGATGAAAGCTTTGTCATCAAAATGGAAATTAAAGAAAAAAATGCCTGGAACTCGTTTAAACAGGCTTTCTTGGAAACAAAAAATACCCAAACTACATAACTTTGGTTGCTGAATTGATGGAAAACTACAAAATGTTGGACTGCAATTTCTTTCACTCACATCTGGACTACTTTCCCGAAAATCTAGGGACTCTGTAAGTGAGGAACAAGGAGAACGGTTCCATCAAGACATAAAAGAAATGGAACGCAGATACCAAGGTCGGTGGAATGTTAACATGATGGCAGACTATTGTTGGATGTTAAAAAGGAAAAATTTACAAGAACACAGCCGAAAAAGTACCAAAAGAAACTTTGACGGAAAAAATACGTTTTTACAAAGACTTATAATCACTTTGCAAACACTTGTGTATCACTATTATGCTCAGTTTAGCTATGTAATATTGTTTTTTTTTGGTTTTACTTCATGTTAAAATAATAAAAATAAATCCACAATTCCTCGTTTTATTGTACTTTTTCAATTATTTCATCCTTATTTTGTAGGCAAACCTTACGTGATAGATAAAAACAAATGTCATTTTTGAAATCAGCGCAAAAAACTACATAAAGATCAGTAAGTTTTTTTGCAGAGCTGTGTCATCTATGTTAGTCTTGAGTTAATATTTTTCGAATTATGTGGATTTTCCAAGGTATTTTCAATTTTTTGTAGGAATGATTCAAGCTCCCCCGATTTTTTTCGTTTATTATGTAATTGATTGATTGAATGATAAGGGAGTAACGTTTGAGTATTGAAGATTTATGTAAACCGAAACATGTTTTTTCAAAGGTCTTTGAACATAGAGAATAACTTACATAATGGAGACAACTTTATTCATATTCATCCTATACTAATTTCCACTACATCTTTCAGTTGATTTTTTTCGTCACATTGAGGTTCATAGGTATAGTACTGATGATTTCACCTCAATTCTGAATACATACTCATCAATGGTTGCCAAGATAGACAATGTACTTGTCTCTAACTCACAACAGGGGGAGTACCACTTATTTTCAATTCCTGATACCTTTTATTCCCATTACGAGTANACAACGGGGGGAGTACCACTTATTTTCAATTCCTGATACCTTTTATTCCCATTACGAGTATTTTTGTTTTTGGTTGCTTTTCCTATTTGGTAACGTGAAAATTATTGAGTACCCCAGAATAAGGTAGTGTTCAATACAGAAACTACTAGCCAAATTGGATGTTTGAAGGAAAGTGTCTATATTAACCAGTTTATACCAAATATTCAAAAAATAGATGATATATTCAATATCATCGATTTCAATTTCACCAATGAATCATAAAATTTTACAATTTTTTAGACATCTTTCCATCTACTCCGAAATTTTGTACACCTGTGAAGCTACAATATAATTTTCTTCTACCAATGCCAATCAGTTCATCACTGTCCTAATGGTTTTTCAATCTAAGTAGATATTTTCTTAAAGGTACCGCAAGTGATCAATGTCCCGAGGAATATATGTAATGGATGCGTAAATCAGCTTGAAGAGATATTGATGTTTATTGAAGTTGCCAAGACTAATGATGCCAATATGGAACTAAAATCGATTCTAGAAAAAGACATTGAATATCCAAATCGTATTGAAAGTGTGGAAAATCTGAGTTGAGGATAATAAATGATGGATCAGTTGATGAATATAAGAAGGAAGGCAGATTCAGAGAGGGAAGTGTAATGTGTCGCATTTGTTCATCTGCAAGTAATGGAGCTTGAATTAATAGGGAATCACATCTGACTCAACTGATTCTAAATGTTACCAACATAGATGTAAGTGTCTTGCACTCGAACATTTCAATTTCAATAATTTTAATTTTTTTAGGTTAAAAATGAAATCGTCACATGTGTTGTATGTATAGACAAACTGGAAAAAATGTCAGCATTCATCACCTCGTCTTTAGCCAATGAGAGAAAACTAGATAATGCTATATGCATGGGGCATATTGTGAAAACAGAAAATATTTCAAATTGCATCAAAATTGAATCTTCTACATGTGGAGATTTCATCCTGAAGGGGATTTCGAACAAAATGAAATTACAAAGAAGAAAGAATTTCTAGATGTAAAAAAAGAATTTACTGAGGTCAACAAAGAATTTTTTCACATCAAAGAAGAAAGAATGGATGTCACCGAGGATGCGAATAAACTGTCAACTCCATCAGTGCAATCCTACGAAAGCGAATCCGAATTACACACGCCAATCCCCCCTAGAAATTGCCGCCTATGTATGTATTGTCAAGGGGCGTTTACAACTAAGTCAGATTTCAAAAGACATGTAGAATCTCCCAATGAAAAAAAAACATTCCAGTGTCAATTATGCAAAGACATATTCCCTCTGAAGTGTCAGTTGAAAGGTCATCTGCTAAATCACCCTGAAAAAAAGCCTCTCCAGTGTAATATTTGTAAGAAAAATTTCGACGAGAAGCGTGAAGTGACTATCCACTTACTCAGTCACACCAAAGAATTACCATTTCAACGTGATGTTTGCCAAAAACGTTTTCACCTGAAATCAAGGTATCAAGAGCATATAAACAGGCACAAAGCCGCAGGAGAGAAGCCTTTTAAATGTAAATACTGCCAAAAGGATTTCGCAGAAAAGCATAATTTGAGCGTCCATTTGATCTCTCATTTTCCACACGAATGTGGTAGGTGTGACAAAAGATTTTCCCACGAAATAAATTTTTACTCATCCACATTAACAATAGAAATTTTCAATGTAGATTTTGCGAAAAAGTTTATTTCTGAAAAAACATTGGAAAAAGCATTTTCAATGTCACCCAGGAGAGATGCCGTATCAGTGCATGTACTGCAAGAAAACGTTTGTAAGGTCGAGTATTTTGGAGAAACATATTATCATTCATGATGACAAAACATTATACCGGTGTGACCTTTGCAAAGCATGTTTTACTACAAAGTATCTTTTGCTCAATCATAGGCGTATGCACCCACCCATGTATTCGTGCGAGACGTGCAATGAAAGTTACAATGCCGTCATTAGTTTGCAGATGCACCACCTTAGACATCCAGATCATAAGTAACACATGTTATGCTGCAAAGTTTCATGTTCACGACATTTTATGAAAAAAATACAAGCAAGAGAAGATTCCTTAGAGCCTTTTATTTCCTGCATAGTTTGCTATCCCACACTAGTAAAGGGCAGTTGAAGTAAAGTAGATACTATTAGGTCGTTTCAAAAGTTTTGTCCTTTTTTATATGTTTTTGTAGCCATATCTCAATAAAGGTTTATTCTACTGTGTTGGGCTGTTAAGAATTCATTAAATCTTAGTTACATTTCAATACATTTACATTTATTACATTACATTACATTTTTATTTATTTTTTCTTATAATAAGTACATTCGATTCCTTTCTTGAATTTCCCTTGCTTGCTATCCAGTACGGCCAATTCTATCATACATTGTTTGTCTTAGTAGTCAACAATATGTGTAATTTGTCGCTATTTTAATATCAATCCTTCAAGAGAATTGGTGAAGATTTGTCGATGATCGATTTAAATGGATATGGGATATGGCTAAGGTATGTGGATGATGTTTTCGCAATATTCGATAACAAAAAATCGAATATTGAGGACTTTATTTCCTGTTTTAATTACAGATTTCCATCAATAAAATTCACGTATGAGCAACTGAATGATGACTTGTCATCATGTAAATTGAAACTTTGCCTTTTATCTTCATATAATAAATGAACTGTTCCTGATTAATTTGCTTTAACAGGAACATATATGACGAACATCCAACACGAAACCTGTACAAACTAGTACAGGGAACGAGACTGATGGAATGGGTGTCATGAGAAGATGGGAGAACAAACGCAACAAGGCCAAGAGGCTGCAGTGTTTCCTGGAGACTTGGATCAAATGGACAAGTCAGACAGCTCCCAAGGTATATAAAAAAAATTTGCTTTAAATGTATTAGAAGATAATAAAGACGATATTATTATTATTATTAGTATATGAGAATCAAAATCAAGTTTGAACCATCAATGCCCTTCAATGTGAGATGTGGACAAAAAGATCTCATTGCAGTGACATCAATTCTCATTATTTTCCTAGAAAATATTATTTTAGGATTGAAAGAGTATCTAGATGAACGAAAGCCCTGAATTATGTAATTGAAAATTAGGGAAGTTGTATCCACTACTTCGGCCATGTTATGTGATTGAAATACCTTCAACAAATAGGTTCCACTTCAGACAATCTGCATTACTTTAACCTTACACACCCAAAACTCAAAAAAGTAATTGCAAAGAAAAAAGTAATTTTATAATGAAAAACTTAAAAATGAGATCGCTCTGATTTTATTCAAAACTTGCATTAATTTCACAATAATGCATTATCTTTTTTTGTTTCTTTGATGTTAGTTCTTTTGGTGTTGGTTTCTTTTGATGTTAGCTCTTTATTTCCTAGGGTCCCAATTCCACAGACCTTACAATACCTCGGAGAATTACTAAGGAAAAATGATTTCAATAATAACTAAATTGATGAATTCGTTTCTCTCACTAATTTGTGTATGAAACAAAACCGATTCCAGGTAGAAGGTTGCTTTTATGAACAACAGGAGGGAACTGCTATGGGTAACCCCTTGTCCCCCTACCTGGCAAACCTGTTCATGAGCTGATTCGAAATGGAAACCAAAGAAAAGTCAAAGTATTTTCCTAGGATATGGCTAAGGTATGTGGATGATGTTTTCGCAATATTCGATAACAAAAAATCGAATATTGAGGACTTTGTTTCCTGTTTAAATAACAGATTTCCATCAATAAAATTCACGTATGAGTTAGAAAATAAAGGACAACTTCTATTTCTTGACGTTTTGGTAATGAGGAGCCAATATGGAGAGCTGGAATACGTTGTATTCAGAAAGGAAACAAGCACGTGCAGGTACATTCTTGACACATCACACTGTGGACCGCACAAACGTGCTGCCCTGAATTTTCTAGTGCATCGTCTTTTGACTTTTCCTCTCACACAAGGGAGGTTCACAAAAGGAAAACATATAATACAGGAAATAGCAGCCAGTTATGGTTTCTCGAGGGGTATTGTAGATATAATAAGGTTTAGGTTAAGAATGAACGAAATCTTGACTTTCAGAAACGACAAAAACCAAGATAAATATATCTCAGTTCCATACCACCAATACACGAAGAACTTTGGAAATATTTTCAAGGAACTAGGTGTGTGCAATCCT